ATTTTAAAATTTTATTTTTTATATTTACCATTTTGTCCTCAAATGAATAAAAAATTTAAACCCTACAAATCCAAAAATTTAAACTCGAAATGAACGCTTGTAATAATATATGATTTTGTTAAGTTAAAGATTAATACTTTCGTTTATACGTTTCTTGACTTTTTTGGTAATAATGTACATTAATTTATATTCTTTTGTTTCATTTCTCCATCACAAAGTATCAACTTCCCTCATTTTAACAGATAATGTTTCAAAAAAAAAAACGGGAGCCCATCCGCCCCTTCAACTCTGGGACCCCCCTACTTCGGCAGGCTGGTTCCGCCTCTGCTCACACTGTGGCTACCAGTTCAGCTCAAACTACCTCACTTCTATCTCACTACCTCACTTCATGTGCTTGTTTTCATTAACTAGTAAGCCGCCTTTGAAGAAAATGGTCAAAATGCTACAATTAAAGTAATATAAAATAATTATTGAATTTCAATTAATTTTATTAAGGGTCCGTTTGATAGGCAAAAGTGAAAAGGAATTTCAATTTCATGTTAGTTGGAAAATAAAAACTCATCAAACCCATAGGAATTCGTTTTCTATGAAAACAAAAAAAATGCAGCTTAAAGTAATTGTACATTGGAATTCGGTTTCCATTTCCATGTTGCAATCAAACGATCAAAGTTGAATTCGTTTTCTTCTGATGTGACATTTTTCATAAAATTTATTACAATCAAATAGGGCCTAAATTATTATAGAAACGCGTATTTATGTTGGTTTGCTAATTATTTGTTAATCATATTTACAAAAGTAAATAATTTTTATAACTTTTCAATATTTATAATTGTATATGTTTTTAACTAAAACTAATTACAATCTTACATAAATCAGATTAGACCAGTCGATTCAATCGTAAAAATCAAAATCGGCCTCAAATTCTATCCAATAATAGATAAAAAAACTGATGAATAAACCGTTAACCCACCGATTTAACCTTGAACCAAAAAAATTGAACACGATTTTTTTCGATTAATGTGACTTTTTTCACAAAATATTTTAAATATCTTGATGTGCCTCTTACTCTAGCAGGCCCAATTCACATTAACTAAGAGCTTGTTTGGGAGGGATTAAAATCAGATTAAAATTGAAAATATAGCCGTTTGAGTTGACTTTTATTAGACAAGTGGGACCAATAATGGCTATATTTTCAATTTTAATTGAATTTTAATCATTTCCAAACAAACTCTAATTGTCGCATTCAAATCAAAAATATGAAAAAGTATAGGAAAAGTTTTATAAATAAAAGATTCATTATCACCTATTTCAAAACTAAGAACAAATATTGCAAATTTCAAAAATCAGATACTAATTAAA